AGCAGGAGTAGCCTGGGGTACTTGAGAGCCTGTTGTACAGAAACAGAGGGAGAGGGCTCCACAGGAAAAGGCACCCACCTCCAAGCTTGACGACCAGACTTTGATCCCTCTGGCCTCCACAAGCATGCCACTGCACATGCACCCACTCTACCCCATCCTCCCACTAAAGCCTCTCAACTAATGTAATTCCTGATGGGGAGCAGTGCTGGACTTTCCATCCCTTGGCTGCATCTAGCTATTTCTGAAGTTATTTATTTATTGTTGGTGGAATTTTCTCTCCTGCCAGCCAGTTCCCAAATAACCACACGTTGACTTCTTATTAATTATAAAGGCTTGGCCAATAGCTTAGGCTTGTTACTAACTAGCTCTTATAACTTAAATTAACCCACTTTTATCAATCTACTTTTTGTCTCATGAGCTTATTACGTTTTCTCTGTACTGCCCATAGTGCTTCCTCTCTGGATTTTGAGACAGTCCTGTCTCTTCACACTCAAAGACAACCTAGATTTCAAGGTCATCAGGACAGACAGGCAGCAAAGGATACGGCAGAATGAGTGTGAGAGCTCAGGGCTCAGCTCCTGTTATCAAGCACTGTGTGTACTGTAATGCATTTTCACACACTGCTAGAATATCATCACCATTCAGCACAAAGGAAATAGACTGAAGTCATAGACTCGAGAGCTTATGGTTTCTTTCCTTTTTGAGAGAGGCTGGCCTCAGACTCTCTAAGTGGGGATGGGTGAGATGGCTCAGTGGGTAAGGATGCTTGCTGCCACGCCCAACAAGCTGACTCTGAACTTGGAGGCAGGAAATCTGGACTTCACCCAGAATGAGCCCTGCATCTCTTCTATGGAAACGAGCTCATTCTCCTGTGTTGTTTGTTTGAAACGGCATCCTTGTAACCCTTGCTGGCCTAGATAGAATTCAGTGTGTAGACCAGGCTGGACTTGAACTTGAAGCAGTCCTCTTGCCTCTGCCTCCTGTGTGCTAGGAGTACAACTGTGCACATGCTTCCTGGCCTTGTTTGTTGTTTAAATCTTGTATGTGTGGTGTATGGAGGAGTGCATGTTTATGTTTGCCTGTGGAAGCTAAGGACCATGTTAGGTGTCTTTCCGAATTACCCTCCACTACGGGGTCTCGGGGTCTCTGACTGATCCCAGAGCTTCCTGGTTGTCTTTCCTGGGATGGCCAGCTAGCTCCAGGGCTCCACCCATCTCTGCTACCCCTATCTCCCAACATAGGTTATAGACACATTCCACTTTGCCCAACTTTTACACAGGTGCTGCAGTGATCCAAACTCAGATCTCTGTGCTTTCAAGGCCGGCATTTTACTGACAAGCATCTCCCCAGGACACACACACACCCCTTTAATAGCATCTTGTTATGTGATCCAGGCTGGCCTCCAACTGGAGATCTTCCTGCCTCAGCCTCCTGGTTGCTGGGATTATGGTTCGTTCCCTAACATCTGCCCCATGATACTCTGTTTTTATTTGTTTGTTTGTTTATTTATTTATTTTTTCAAGGCAGGGTTTCTCTGTGTAGCCTTGGCTGTCCTGGAACTCACTCTGTAGCCCAGGCTGGCCTCAAACTCACAAAGATCCACCTGGCTCTGCCTCCTGAGTGCTGGGATTAAAGGCATGTGCCACCACTGCCTGGTTGTTTTATTTATTTATTTATTTATTTATTTATTTATTTATTTATTTATATTTTTTATTATGTATACAGTGTTCTGCCTGCATGTATCCCTGCAGGCCAGAAGAGGGCACCAGATCTCCTTACAGTTTGTGAACCACCATGTGGTTGCTGGGAATTGAACTCAGGACCTCTGAAAGAGCAGTCAGTGCTCTTAACCGCTGAGCCATCTCTCCAGCCCGTTTTACTTATTTTTGAGACAGAATCTTACTTTGTAGCCATGTCTGTCCAGAATCTCCTAAGGTGGACCAGGCTGGTCTTCAACTCCCAGAAATCTGCCTGCTTCTGCCTTCAGGGTGATGTTTTTGTTTGTTTGCTTTTCTGTCTCTTCTTTTTTTTTTTTTCTTTTCTTTTTCTTTTTTCTTTTTTCTTTTTTTTTTTTTTTGAGGCAGGGTTTCTCTGTAGCCCATGCTGCCCTGGGGAGATCCTCCTGCCTCTGCCTCCCAAGTGCTGGGATTAAAGGCGTGCTCCTCCACCTGGCCCCCAGAGTGATTGAATTAATATACTACCATGTCTGTTTTGTAAAGGTGGGGATAGTGATGATGATAAGGAAGAAGGGGAGAGGAAGGAGGAAATTTTGCAAATATTTTGTCCCTAGGAAGGCATTCTTTGCATCTAGGGGTTTTTCTTGCTCTGACTTCCCAGATCTGACTTTAGCTGTGCCCATCTGTAACTCTCTGGCCATTGTCTTCACACTGATTGTGGGGAAGGTCTTTGGAGAAGATATTGGTGGAAAACGTAAGTCAAGCTGCTGCATGTCAGGGGATAGATAGCTGCTTGGGCCTTGACGTATGTGAGCATTTCCCCAGTCTGTCTCCCATGCATGGGTGGAGGAGAGAAGAGAGAAGAGAGAGGCCTCCCTTATCTTGACACATGTGAGCATTCCCCAGTCTGTCTCCATGGGAGAGGACCGACCTCCCTTATCTTGCCCCTGGCTCTGCAGCAGCTCTCCTGCTTGTGACCATCACTTCCCTTCCCTGTGCAATCTGGGGACAGAGGCTGGGGTGGGCATCAGGCCAGGCACCGTCAATCTTCTCCCTTGACCCCTTGATGCTTCCTTTACCTCAGAAGCAGTGGCTGGCATGGTGCTCACCGTCACGGGGATCACACTGTGCATCACGAGCTCGGTGACCAAGACCCAGGGCCAACCGTCCTCCTCTTGAGCAGGCCAAGCCCGGCCTGCACTTCTGCTGTGCTCAGCAGGTACTGCAGGGGTACACCAGCCGGCCTCTCTGAGCTTAGCTTCCTCATCTCTGGGATCACATCTACCTCAGAGTCACAATAAGAATCGCATGGTCCAGAGTTCCAGGACAGCCAAGGCTACACAGAGAAACCCTGTTTCAAAAAACCAAAAAAAAAAAAAAAAGAAGAAGAAGAAGAAGAAAGCAAAGAAAAGAACAAAGAAGAAGGACAGCCCTGGGAAGGTTTTGTAACCTTTGGTGGGTTCGGCTGTTGTGGATTTAGCACTGGACCCAGGAGTGGTGGCGCACGCCTGTAATCCCAGCACTCGGAAGGCAGAGGCAGGCGGATCACTGGGTTCCAGGCCAGCCTGGGCTACAGAGCGAGTTCTGGGACAGCCAGGGCTACACAGTGAAACCTTGCATTAGAGGGAGGAGACTGACTTAGCGCTGGAGACTGTACACCTGCCCGGCAGCCTCTGCCTGCTGTCAGCTCAGGCACTGTTCCCCTGGCCTGCTCTAATATCAGAGTCCGCCGAGCCTCCACTACATGGAAAGGGCTGGCTGCAGTCTCTGAAACAGGACTGTGTCTGGAGACTTCCGCAGCCCTACTACGGTCTCTTGGCTGACTTGGGGTGGAATTCAGGGAGAGTGGTTACAGCAGAATGCAGATGGGAGAAAAATGAGCCGGCCCTGGGCAGAAATGCTCACCTGCCAATCCCTCAAGTGAGCAGACAGCTGTGTGCCAAGCAGCGCCAAGCTGCAGCAAACACCTGGCCAGTAGCAGCTTTCAATAAATCTGCAGCAAACAAAGCTCAGCAAATATTACTTTATTGCGACAAGCCTTCTCCTAAACCCAGTCTGCAGTGCCTTTCTCTGCAGGGACTCTCATAAGGAAGTAGCCTCCACAGAACTTGCTAGGCTTATGAATGGGGAAGGGCTGAGGAGGCCATACCTCCTGTGAGGAGCCCTGTGAATCATGGTTTCTCAGGAACAGGCTGCTGACAGCTGGGGCGGGGTAGTTGGGAGTGGTTGTCCTCAGTTTCTGTCTGGAGCTCCTGGCACTGAAGGTGGTGGACCGCATGGGCTGAGCCTGAGGACAGCTACAGGCCTCCGCGGGTGTTGGGGGATAAGGCCTCTTCCACCGTCTCTGCTGCCCTCTGGTGGACATGTGGAGACATACAGAGCCATGTGGATGCCCAGTTTGTATCCACTGCCAGAGGTCCCCAACCCAGGAAAGGAGGCTGGAAATTAGAAAGTCTCGGGAATTAGGAAACAAGAAGGCAGGCTTTCAGATTTTGATCTGCTCCGTCACTGGGAAGATGGTGTCCTGGGAGCCCCGACTTTAGCTCAGACCCCTGCCCATCTCAGTGTAAGGTGATGGGCTTACCTGATCCACAGGCTCTTCTGTGCAGATGTTCTCGTCGTCAGCCACTTCCTGAGCCCCGGCTGTTTCCTTCCTTGGGTGGGAAGCCTCATAAACTCCCTTAACCCCTAACAAGGAGGCAGCATTGGTCGATGTCCAGGCTGAGGGGGTCCACAGCCTTTGGTGCCTTCACCTGCTCCCCAGTTCCCTCCCCTGAGCCTTGTCCCACGTTCTCCAACACCTCAGAGGATGGCAGGGAAGTTAGAGGCCAGCCTTTAGCTCCCAGCTCTAAGTCCCACCTCTGGACCTTATGGCTTAAGCATTGTCTTTTCTGTTTATGTAAGTCCCTATGAAAGGAGCAAGGACATGCGAACAGAAGAGCGGCGTGGAGCTCTGCTGAAGCGTTCTCCCCCACAGACATCCCCCTGCAGTAGCAAGACCATCCTGTGTTGATGACTGACCTGAGCTCCCATGCCTCCCTAGCATGTGTGAGCACAGGGGAGTGATGTGAAGGGCCCAGCCCCGGAGCCCTCACCTGATGGATGTGAGAGAGGAAAAGGCTTGCTTGGTGGCTGGACAGACCGCTGGGCTCTGACATACAAAGTGGAGGGCTCAGTCTGTCCAGGTTCCTTTGCAGAAGACAGGGCTGCCTGGGCCTTGTGGCCCTGGGCCTACGGAAGGGACCCCGAGTGAGAACCCCGTCTGTAGACTGCTCTTATGTCTCCAGCTCCCCAGTGTGCCCTGCTGCCTGTGCAGGCTCGCCAGAGGCCCTGCGCCCATCTTCGGAGTCTGCATCCTTCCCGCCTGCCTTTGTTCCTGTAGGCGAGTCTATCCAGTTGACGCTGGCATCCAAAGATGCCAGTGAAACAGTGCCACATGCTCATTGGCTCCTCTGGGAGAATGGAGGGTCCCCTGTCCCCTGCTACACCAAGGAGCCAGTTCCCACAGCCACCCTGTGGGGAGGCAGTTGGCATGGCATGTGCCACTCGATAACTGTCACCCTGAATGAGTCTTGTTTATGCTTGTGAGCTTCAGTTCCTACCCCAAAAAAGGGAAGTCACTGCTTCCCAGGATGGGATGAGGTCAGAATCCCCAGCTAGTCACTCCCCTGTCCCAGTCACCTACCCTCCGCCTGTGGCACTCAGACTTCCGGCCTGGAGGATACCTGCAGCGAAAGGAAGGTTTGTAGTGGGCAGAGGAGAACACAGTCCTAGCTCCCAGGCCAGAGAGCACTTCCTCTGCTGTGGCCTGTGACCCTCCACCTCAAACATACCAGCAGCCCCTGGCCAGAGCGGGGCTGGGCACCAGCAGCTCCATGTAGGGGAGAGCTTTGAACGCCTCTTCTCCAACTGCCACGTAGTGATGGCCGCTCACCAGAGCAGCCCCTGCTGACAGCGGGAGCCCCTCGAGGGTGCAGAGTCTGGGAGGAGGTCAGATAACAGGCTGCTCTCCACCCAGCAGGCGCTGAGGCAGGTACAGCTCCTTTGGGGGACCCTCTGACTTTGGTCCTCTGGGCAATGTTAACCCGGGCTAGGCAAGCCCTCCCCTGAGGCACAGGAGGCAGTCCTGCTGGAGAGAACATGCCTTCCTTTGCCCTTTTACTCACTGGTGTACAGCCCCACTCTGTAACTTGACCTTCTCGGTCAGCAGCTTCAGCACCATTTCCCAGTCCTGGATGACAGTCTGGGGCAGCTTCAGACCAAAGGGGGGACTTCGTAGGTCCCCATTCCTGAACACACTGAGACAAAGAACAGCCCGGTAGGGGATGAGTCTCCAAGACTCTACATGTGAAGGGGGCATAGGAACCACTTAGATGTTGGGATTTTAATCTTCCCACTTGTCATGGGGCTCCTGGAAAAACCCACTGCCATTTTCTTGGTCTCACTGAGGCACAAATCTATACCCCCACTCCCTGATGCTGGCACTCACTGGATATAGCAGGGGGCGTCTGCTGGCAGCCACTGTCCAAAGGCCCCATCACATGGGCGGTGAGACATGAAAGGCTCCTGAAATCCAAGTCAGGCCTTCGAGTCAGGAGAAAGTCCAGGACTTTGGTTGGGACTGGCTGGTTCTAAGAACATGGGGTGAGCAGGCAGGAACCAAACTTGTACAGGAGAGCGAGGGAGCAGGGGTGAGTCTGGTTGTGTAGGAGAGCGAGGGAGCAGGGGTGAGTCTGCTCACACCTCTCTGGAGGGTACCCCCTGAGTCACACAACTCCTGTCCTTTGGCCTCATGTTTCACAACTTACCCTTTCCTTTGGGGACTGTGGCCTGGGATTAGTTAGAAGCAGGGGCTGACCCAGGACAGCAGCAGGTTCTGGAGTGGGGGTGGTGTGCCCCAGACTCCACAATTCCTGCTGCCTCCAGGACACTTGTCCTAAGAGGAATGGGATGGATGACAGCTGTGGAGTCTCCCCTGGACTTACATGTTGATGGCTGCTCTTCCCACCCGGGGGTTTCCTTCCAGGAGGCAAGTAGCTGAAAGGACAGATAGGACCCAGGTCACCTGAGGGAGTCGGAACCCGGGCTAGCCAGGCTTATGCCCATCACAGCCAAGATCCCATCACTGCAGGGCTAGTCTGAGGAGACCACTCTGCGGGTTGAACTTTTCTCTGACTAATGAGATGGGATGTGTGTGTGCGGTGGCACTCCTAAGGCCGGGCCTACTGTTGGTGGCACACGCCTTTAGTCCCAGCATTTGGGAGGCAGAGGCAGGCTGATCTCTGAGTTCAAGACCAGTCTGGTGTACAGAGTGATTCCAAGACAACCAGGGCTACAAAGAGAAAAGGAAAAAGAAAAAGATCTAGCACTCCCAAGTGAGACTGAGATGAGACAGTGGAGTTTCCCAAGTAGTCCAGGCTAGCCTCTACAGTGTGTAACTGAAGATGAACTTCAACTTCTGACCCACCATCTCCACCTCCCATGCAGACACCAGCCTGACTCCAAAATCTCTTATTTGGTCTCCTATTCCATCATCACCACCAAACAATCATGTCTTCATGTTTCTCCCTGCTTTAGCCAAGCATCTCAAACTCTAGGCGAGGACTATCCTCTCTCTCTAGGATGAAGCCATCTCCCAGTAGCTGCCCAGCACCCTAAGTGTCCTTCCTCACTGGAGCACTCTATCTTTTTTGGGCCAGGAACATGTGGAAATATGAACTTGCCTTAGGATCTCAGAGAACTGAGTCTGGCTATAAAGCCATGTGGCTTTTAGGTGCACCACATTGTTGAAGGCTGAGGGCAAGCTTAAGTATCTTACTATAGTCCAGAAGTTCCCCATTCATGAGGGTGATTTTATTTTCATTTTGTATGAAAGTCAAAGAAGTGACTTGCTCAAAATCCCACAGGAAGTGCCTAAGTCCAGACACCATGTCCCTTCCTTGTGGTGAACTCCCCCAGCAGGGTGCTCAGGCAGGACTTGGAAGCGAGGCCTGGGTTGGAAGCTCAGGTCAGTTTTCTTCCACTTTGGAGGACAGTCTAATCTTGCAGAAAGAGATGAGCCTAGTCTAACCGGAGTTTCAGACGCTGAATACAGCAGGGAGGAAGTGGTGGCCGGTTTCAGTGTTTGGTGATGGTGACGGCAAGGACTAAACACTCTCAGGGCTGCAGAGACGGCTCAGCAGGCAAAGGCCCTGGGCTGCCAAAGCCTGACCGCCTTAGAGCCACGTCGAGGGAGGAGGGTAGCGACTCTGGTGGGTGTTCTCTGCCCTGTGCACACCTGCCATCACACACATACACACACACACACACACACACACACACACACACACACAGATTAAAAGGGCTGGAGGGTTAGCTAAGCAGTTAAGATTACTTACTGCTCTTCCAGAGGATCTGAATTATCTCCTGGTACCCACATCAGCTGTAACTCCAGGTCCAGGGGATCAGACAGCCTGATAGCACCCACACTTGTGTACACACACACACACACACAAAGATTAAAAGGGCTGGCGAGGAGGCTCAGCAGCTGCGTGCATTCTGCTCCTGCAGAGGACCTGGGCTGAGTTCCCGCCACTCACATGGGTGGCTCACCACCATCCTTAACTCTAGGGTCAGGGGGTTTGGCACCCACTTCTGGCTTCTAAGGGCACCAGGCATGACAGGGCACTTACATGCAGGCAGAACCCTCAGAAACAGAAAATAAATCCTTGGCCAGGTGTGGCGACCCAGGTCTTTAATCCCAGCACTTGGAAGGCAGAGGCAGGCAGATCTCTTTGTTTGAAGCCAACCCTGGTCTACAAAGTGAATTCCAGGATGGCCAGGGCTACACAGAGAAACCCTGTCTTGGGAGGCGGGCCGGGATGGGGGTGGGGGGTGGAAGGGGAGAATAATTCCTAAATAAAGTTCCACGTGCAAAATTGTCCCCACAGGCTGGTCCTGGTTGTGGTGGGCATTAGCTGCAGTAACAGAATGCAAGCTGAGTTGCCGCGCACCCTCCTTGACCATGTAGCCTCAGGCAGGTTTCTCACTGTGCCCTACCCTCTCAGAGCACAGCTCCTCCCCAGGTTCTGTCAACTTGGACCTAAGTTCTGGATGCACTACTGCCCCCACCACCCTCCCTAGGCACTTTGGCCTCCCCCGACCCACTCACTGGAGCTTGTGGAATCGTTCAAAGCCAGCAGCCACGTATTGCCCTCCATTCTGTAAGTCAGCCAGGTCAGTGACGAGGTGGCCGTCACACAGTGTGTAGAGGGCACGCACAGCCAGTGGGGCCTGTACCACTGATGTCACCTCATAAAGGAAGGCCTCCATGGTGGGGTAGCGGCGCTGGGTCACCACCAGCTGGCGGCCCGGGAAGAAGGGGTCCCCGTTTCGATACACCAGTACTCTCTTGGCTGCCATAGCGTATCTTCACTCAGAGACGCAGAGCAGTTGCCAAGCAACTAAGCCAGGCTGGGATCTGTGCCAGAGGTGAGGTCCTGCCTTCTTGTCCAGGAAGGCGTCAAGCACCTTGGACAGGAGCATTTTTCTGAACGCAGGGTCTCACATCTGCACTTGATGGGCCTCACAAGAGCAGGGTAGATAGGATCACTTTTTTCATTTGCTTGCAGAGCTGGGATCAAACCCTGGCCCTTGTTTGTTAGGCAAACACTAGCACTGAGCTGTCTTTCCAGCCCAGTCTGCTCACATTACAAAAGGGAGACCTTGGGTTCAGTGAGAGGAAGAGAGATTCCCACACAGATGTCCAGGCTTCTCCAGGGCTTGGGCTCCTTTGAACCGAGACCAGGGGTGATCAGCCTGAGGGCTGTTCCCCAAGGATGGCTAACTGTGCTTTGGCCATGGCTGCTAGCTGGCTTTGGGGATGATGTGCCATGTGAGTGAAGACGAACCAGATGGCCCCAAACCTGTCCTGGTCAAAAACAGGAGATAAAAGCAGACAGGCCGGGTGGTGGCGGCGGCGGCACACGCCTTTAATCCCAGCACTCGGGAGGCAGAGCCAGGCAGATCTCTGCGAGTTGGAGGCCTGGTCTACAGAGTGAGTTCCAGAACAGGCACCAAAACTATACAGAGAAACCCTGTCTTGAAAAACCAAAAAGAAAGAAAAGCAGACAGGCTCATAACCCAAGAAAAACTTTTATTCTCTATGACCCTCCCACCTTACTTACCCAAGGGAAGGTGAAATCTGGATTAAGCCACAGGCAGAGGATAAAAGGGCATGCCCTCCATCTTCCTCCTACTGTACCAGCGCAATCCAATCCTGCAGTTTGGCCTGATAGCTACCAATGGCCAGGAGCAGGGGCAGGACAAAGAGGTGGAACCAGGTCCCCTATCACCTTTTCACAGCATCCCCTGTGGGAACCTATTCCTCCCCCAGATCCCCAGGTCTTGCCTGATGGTCCTGCTTTCCATGGCCTGCCTTCCAGTGGTCGTCTCTTGTGGAAGACAAGTTCTCTGGAGATCTTCATCTCCACAGCAGAGTCCTCCCGTTTTCCCATCCTTCCTGACTAAGCTCATTGGTAGTTAGTTCCATGGCTGGAACTTGGAACACTGGGGTGCTGGCTCTTGGGTAGTTTAGTCCTTCTGGTATGTTCCAGCCCTGCCAACGTGCCATCCCAAATCACGTGATCTTCTGTGATACTCAAAGCATCTGGCCTGGCTCTTTGTCAGTCAGCCTCTCTGTCGCTTGGCTTCCTGGAGTACCTGTCCCCAGGGTTTGGGTTTTCACAGGGCGTGGGCAGCTGTGTCGCTGTCCTTCCAGAACGAGGACGCCTAGACTTGGGGTCCCCAGGGGTCTGATCCTCTAGGAGTTTCAACTGCTGCAGGCAGGTTTCATTTATGGCCTGTCCTCTGTGGTCTGGTCCTCTTGTGACCCTGTCCCCTCCAGCCTGGCTCTCTAATGCTGCGGGCAGCTGTGGTCCAGCCTTCCTATGGCATAGTTCCCTGCCCTTAGCCCAAGTCTTGTCTTTGCCTGTACCGGTTAGCCTGTCTGGGGATTTCTGCGGCTGGGATTTGTCCTCGTGGCAGGCGTCATCTGCATGGTGTGGCTCTCCTATGGTCCTGTCTCTACAGCACTGGTCCTGAAGGAGGCAGCTGGACTGCAACCAGGCCTTCTCACAGGCCTGACCCTGGGTGTCCGGGCACGTGTTAGGCTTGTCTCTGGTCTGGCTTGCTTCTGGGGATCTCAGTGTTTGCTTGAGAATTAGGTACTGTTAGGAGAGAAGAAAAGCAAGCTTGCTCAGGCATGGCACAAGGCCTCTCCCCACCCCGACCTGCTCAGAAAGGGTTCTCAGGCAGTGCCTACCTCCTTTCGACTGTGGATGGCCTGCTGTAACCATAGGAGCTCCATGGCCAGATGGTTGCGCTGGTCCTGGAGCTCCTGTTGGCTCTGGGACAGCCCGAGATCTGTGATGCCATTGAAGAAAGGAGGAGAAGGAGGAGAAGGTCTTGAGAGGCAGACACTGGGAACTAGTCCAGTCCAGATCCTGGCAGTCCTCCATGCTCATCAGGCAGGGGGAGGAGGGGTGAGGAAGGCTGCAACTTCTCTTGCACATCCTTCCAGGTTTTGGGTGGGAGGTTGAGGCCCAGAGATCAGGCTTGCCCTGATCTAGGCAGAGAGGTACCTGCATTGTCCACCTGGGACATGGAGCGATCTCTGGTCTTCCCCTGGCTGCCTTTCCTGCCCTGCTCAGCCTGAAGCCAGAGGCTGTCATCTTGGCAAAGACTTCCTGGTTCCGCTGGGCTCCCTCCTGTCTTCTTTAACACCATCTCCTCCAAGATGACATCTTTTTCAGAGTCTTTACATGGAAAATGGCTCCATAGTTTCTGCTCTGGATTTGGTATTTTCTCTGCTTTCCAGGAGCAATGAGATTTTGCCTTGTGAAAAATCAGAGGTATGAGAATCAAAGGGCTAAGCCCCCGCAGATGTCTGGAAACCAGAGTCCAGTGGGCAGAGGTACAGCTAAGGATTGGGGTGTGAAAGTTAACCTGACCTTGGGGGCGCCAGGCACACACATGCGATAGAGACAGCAGGCAAAACACCCATACCCATAAAATAAATCTCACCATTCCCCAGAACCCTGTACCAGGTTCTCCTTCCCTCTTCCCCCTGGGGTGTGTACTACCTCTGGGAGAAATATGGGCTTGGGAATCCAGCCCCCAGTCCACTGAAGTGAGCTCAGGTCACCCTCGATCTCCTGTACAATTGCTTCATACTCAGCTCGAAGGCTTTGGAATTGACGTCTGACCAAGAAGCCCCGGATACAGGCCTAATGTGGAGAACAAGCGAGGAAAATACCTCTTAACACGTTTAGAAAAGGGGTATCTTGAGCCAGGAATGGTGGCGCACGCCTTTAATCCTAGCACTTGGGAAGCAGAGGCAGGTGGATCTCTGAGTTCAAGACCAGCCTGCTCTACAGAGCGAATTCCAGAGCAGCCAGGACTACACAGAGAAACCCTGTCTCAAAAAGCAACAACAACACACACAGAGAAAAGAAAAAAGTAAGAAAAGGGGCATCCTCGCAAGCACACTCGATTTGGTGGTTGTTGGCGGCTGGAGAATCAAACCCAGGGCCTTGAATATACAAGTTAAGCGCACGAGCTACATCTCTAGTCCAAGAGAGAGATCTTGGATGTTTCTGGAGAGATCATCGGGGGCTGCCAGAGAAAACACGGTCGTGGGGAAGGGACGGGCAACCGTGTTTGGAGCTCTGGGAGGTGAGCAGGGCTGGGCTGGACCCTCCCGCTCGCTCTTCCCCCAACCCGCCCCAGCCCTGCATTCTTCAGTACAGTGCGGGTAAGGGACGTGATGTGACCGCTGCATTTGCCGAAGGTCCCGGTCCCTGACCCGAGGTGTACTAGCAGCTCCATCACGACCTGCAATGTCGACACCTTGTGAAGAAATAGGCCGGGCTCCATCACGTCGCCAACCGCCCTGTGCTGTGCTTCGTCCGCATGCGTGCGCTTGCGCGGTGCGTCTTTGGGCAGCGCCGCTCTTGAGCATGCGCAAACGCAGGGCCCCGCCCGCCGTTTCCAGGGTCCAGCGCCTGGCTTAGGCTTCCCACCCACCTACGCAAGTGGATCCGGCCTAATGTGCGGCGCAGTGAGAGCAAAGAGGACGCAGAAAAGGAGTCGCACTTCCGTTTGTTTAATTCCATCCAGTGCCCCCCACCTCATAGCACCTGGGGGGCTGCGGAATACCCTCCCGAGTCCGCACAAAGTCACAGTTTGAAGGGAAGGAGAGAAGCAGTCTAGTAGACCTGGTTCCGACACCTATGATGCTGGCTGCTCCTCAGGCTCAGCATTCTCTGCCAAGTGCAGCTTCTGACTGTGCCAGTCAAGGACTGTGACGCTTTGGAGCCCAGTGTTTCCACCTGCCTTCCCATCCTGCACAGGCTGTGTGTGTGTGTCCAGTGCCACCACACCAGGCCACAATCTAAGTAAGGATCATTATGAAAAGCTGAAAGGGTAGGAGAACATCTCAAGCCCTGTGTCAGCTTCAAAGATTTTAATCATGCCAGGGCTTGCCTCCGTTTTCTGAATGCTAGGATTAAAGTTTTGTGCCACCACACATGATGTTTTTTCTCTTAGCATTTGGGAAATTCTACATTCCTCTTCTCAAGTGGGGATAGTCTGTGACTAACTCTTGAGTCAGGACTGCAGGAGATGGGAATGTTTGTTACGTTATGAATACGCAGAAAGGGAGGCAGGGAGGGAGAAACTGATTCCCATCCCTCATTTCTCTCTCCCCTGAAAGCCACGTGAGCCCTATAAAGCCCCTTGGGAAGGATACATGGAATTGCTAAGATCTTCTAGCTGTCAATAGAAAGAAAAGGAGAGTTGTGTCAGGAGGGAAGCCAGAACAAACGTGGATGTTAGGGGGAAGCCTTACTAGTTCAGCTTGAGGAGCTCAGAGCTCTTGGGTTTATGTACCCCCAACTGTTCACTGGGAGACTTGGGAGCCTGTGCCCTCTCCACCCTTGGTGTCCCGAGGATCCAAAACAGCCAGCTTTCTGACCCACATTGCTAAGCAGCTGGTCCAGGTTGCGGTCAGCCATTGTCTTCTTCTGCTCCTCAGGCAAGCCCTCCGTGACCCCATCGTCTTCTTCTTCCTCGTCCTCCTCCTCCCCACACACATCCAGGCTGAAGTGCAGTCTGGCCAACTTCTCCTGCATCTCCCGCACATGCTCCAACTGCTCGAAGGAGCATTCCTTCCCTGGACAACTCCTGAGTTTAGGAGCCAGCCCGGGACCCTAGCCCCAGCGTGCCCCCAGACCAGGACCTCCAGCCCCACCCACAGATCCACCCTGCCCTGAACTTACCAAAGGCCTGCAGGCGGCCTGAATGAAAGTCATTGAGCAGGTTCAGCAGCCCCCCCTCCATCTCATAGGCGTCTGTCACCTCGGTCAGGAAGGAGTGCTGCAGGGGTGTGCCTGCAGGGCCGCTCCCACCTCCGGCCAGCACCGGTCGGCATTTCTCCTTGCCTACTCTGGGGGAAGTGGACATGCCCATGGTCACGGGTGTCGGGACCTCTTGTGCCCTCTCTCTCTCTGCTCTACTTCCTGTTCCCTGCCCACTCACCAGCACAAATGGGTGTTTGTTCTCAGGTCTTGCCCTGAGCAGTGGGATGGGTAGAGGGAACAGAGCTAATGAAGGGAAGAAAGGAGGAGGACAGAAAGAACTCTGTTTCCATGGATGCTACAGCCAGAGCTGTGCTGCAAGGAGATTGACCCAGCCTCCTGTCTGAGAGCCCATGGAGCCCCTGGGATTCTGGATGGGTCACTTGGTCTTGGCCTTTACCGAGTTTCCTTCTTCACTGCCAACAAAGCACCTCCCACCAAAAATCTTCCTGCGCTTGTTGCGAAAACTGTTCTGAATTTTCCAGCTCCTGGCAGGTGTGGCTCTGGCAGAAGCAGGGAATACATTCTGTCTCCCCAGAGTAACACTGAACACTCCGCCAGCCAGGCCTTCCTTCCTCGCCAGCCGCATTTCCTACTATTGTCAAGTACCCTGAGCTTCAGATACAGCCTGCTACAGCCATGCTGGCACGTGCTTGTCAGGCAGCTGGTACAGAGTTCTACAGGGCACTGCTTTTATTGAGAACACTAGGGAAAAGAACACATTGTATTTATGGGAACAAATGTGGACAATTATACTGTAGGATCCAAATTCTTTTTTGTTTCGTTGTTTTCAGACAGGGTCTCACTATGCAGTCTTGGTTGGACTGGAACTCACTATGAACTCATAGAGATCTACCAGCATCTGCCACCCAATGCTAGGATTTAAGGTTTGTGTCACTATGACATGTATGGTGGCACATGCTTTAATCCCAGCACTTGGGAGGCAGAGGTCGGCTGTGAGTTTGAGGCCAGCCTGGTCTACAAAACAAGTTCCAGGACAGCCAGGGATACAAAATGAACCTTGTCTCTAAAAGAATAATAATAATATAATAAAAAAAAAATTGAGCAGAGAAGTTAAATGGGCTAGGGAGGGAGCTCAATGGTAGAGCACTTGCTTAGCATGCCCAATATCTTGGGTTCAATTCCCTGGCAATCACTAAAATGAAATAAAAGGGGACAAATCATTCATGACTTATTCCCCAATACTCCTGGAGCCTTCTAGGCAATCGATTTGTTTTCATGCCATGCAAGCTTTCAGCTTTGAATATTCTTCCCTCTCTAGGGTGTCCAGCAGCTTCCTCTCACTCTCGTACTCACTCACGTTCTCTTCAGAGACACAGCCCCACTCTATGTGGTCCCCGCGACTCCCTGGTTTCCCCCTGTGCACTTGAGGACAAGCATCGGGTCTACATCACTGGTGAATGTGGGGCCAGCACAGGGAAGGCATCCATTACTGCTTAGCAGCCAATGTCTGAAGGCCTTCCTTCCCACAGTGCTCAGCCCACAGTCCAGTGTCCTCCATTCTTGCCAAGCATCCTTTCTGTACTCACCTCTTGAACTTGGTTCGCTGCTTGGGTGATGGCAGATGAGGGAGTCCCAGGGCTAAGGAACCACTGTGGCTGGTGGGCACAGGGACTCTCCGTAGCGTGCCTGGGGCCTGTGCTGGCTGGGCCAGGCACGGCTTAGGACTCCGTTTCTTCTTTTTGTCATCCATGGTGCGCTTGTTGGACCTTAAGCCTGGGAAGGAAGATAATGAGGCGGCAATGTCCTTGTCCAGCAGTCAGGAGCTCTGTCCTGTTGTGTATACAGGCCCAGATGCCAGCCTGTTGCCGGACTGTGGCTATGCATCTGAAGGACCTTCCAAGGCCACCCAAAGCCCCTTTCTTCCTGAAAGTCCTGTGGGCCTGCCTGAGAGCTGGAGTGGGTCAGGGTCATCTTCTTGTTTTCCTGTTGCTGCAGCCCAGAGCCCGGGGCTGGAGAAGAAAATGCTCAGAGACAGAGTGGATGTGACTAGGGGAGCCAGCTGAGGATCAGACGCGTCTTAACTAGGCCCCTACCCACTCTGTATTTAGCAGATACTGACTGCATGAGATGTGACCAAGGTAAGGTAGGGGCACCTGGAAAGGCTCTCCTGTCAACCTGTCAACTACAGTGACTAGGAATGACCGGTTCATGACCTCACCCCCTTACATATTGGCGTTTTCTCTTCTACTTCAACTGCAAATATCAGGGGGGCCTAGAAGTTCTCTGGGACAGCTTCTAGTCTCTTCCCTTTCCAGTTAGAAAGTGTCTGGGGTTGGATCTCCACCAATGACTGTAACTGTGGCCAGAACAGCTTATCCTGACTCCCATGCAGCCCCACCACCTAGTCATTTGGTCTGCTGGAGTCCTCTCCAGGGGATCTCAGTCCAAATTGTTGTCAAAAAGCCTGGTCACAACACTCCTGAGATGGCGATGATGGAGTAGGAACCCAAGCATTTATGCCAGCAGCATATAATAGCTGGATGGCATCGATGGGGCTGGGGTGGGGTAGGAGGGAGACAACTTGTCTCTCCCTGCAGCAGTGTGACCCAGTAAGTGATTTGATGGAAGCAGCAGCCAGATCGGCTGTCCGTGCTCAGCCAGGGAGGCTGTGTCCAAGCAACCACTCGATTCTGAACCTCGGCTTCAAAGAAGCGCACCAGGTGCGTTGCCCCCCCCGCATCACTCATCCCCACACCCCTCGGGGAGCCACTGACCTGAGGTCTGGGGTCTGGAATGAGGGATGGTGCTTCTTTGTAATCTCTCTCTACCTTGCTTTCTCTCTCCTTGGTGGAGCCGGAGCTCGTGGGAGCTAAGCTGGCTGGAGGTGATTTGCATTTAAAGAGAAAGTAGCCCTCTTTGGGTTCACAAGGAGCAGAACGGGAGGAAAGTCCTCAGGTCGACTAACAGTTCTTCTCACCCTATGAACTAAGGGGACCCTGTTAGTTGCGGGATATGGATTTAAAATACTTTCCGTTCCTTGTCGCGTTTGGAGGGAATCCCTTACAAAATGGTGGTGGCTTTGTGTGCAGGAGGAGGGTGATGGGAATAATTGGATGTGTCAGTATAGGCAATATGTAAGTATAAAAGAAAGATAAGCAGCAGCCAACAGAAGAAACACAGACAGCCATGTATCCAAGCACCCTGTTAAGCCTTTCATGTACATTTAATCCTTATAGTCCTGAGACATCATTATCCCGATTTCACTGAAAATAACCAATCTTCACGCATTCCTGGGCAGTATCACTGTCCCATCACATCCAGACACTAGCTGGTAAGTGCCGATGAACTGACAGGACCTCTCCCCACCTCCTATGCAGGGAGAACCAGAGTAGGCAGGAGACCTGGCAACCTGAGCTCTTGAAGGAGCCTGACCCAGAACTGTTGGCTGTGGTGCTGGCCAGGAGGGAGGGAGGCTCCATCACTGAGGCATCTATTTAAAGACCTGGCAGAGCTCCTGGCTCAGTCCTCCAGAGCAGCATCCAATGCCACAGGAGAGTAGCACCCTTAGCCAGGCTGCCCAGACCTAGGCAACACATTCCTCTTCCCCTTAGCAACAATAGGATTCCCTGACCTGGGCCACTGGCTGCTGGGTACCCAGAGGTGTTGCTTCTGGAGATACCAAAATAGGAATCTTTCCCAGGTGCTTTAAACACCGAGACCACTCTAGGGCCAGAGGGAGAGGACAACGGGGATGCCCCTTTCCTCTCCTACAAGGGCTGCTGGAGTGGTGCCAGGCTCCTCCATCAAAGTGGCAGAGGGCGCAGAAGCACCTCCAGGGTCCCACCTTCAGCCCCTTCCCGGAGCCAGAAGCTTTGGCAGAGCTGCTTTGCTTGGAAGCTCCAGAGTCGGAGCAGGAGAGAATCCCCTCCACCATTCTGGAGGATCTTTGGAACCAATGTGGTGTGCGATGTGCATGGAATATTAATCTACCACCCGTCTAGGAGGGGCCAAGGTAAGGCCCTTCTGGGCCAGTGAGCTGGCTAGCAAAGCTCCTATAAAGCTGTTGTTGAACACTTCCATTTGTTCTGTCTAGCCAACCCAGAGAGGATAGACACTGGGAGATGCCATCAGTAGGTTCTCTCCTACAGGAAAGCAGCTGAATTAAGGAACCCAAGTCTTTGAGCACTCCCCCCAGGAAGGCCAACGTCATAATAGGTTGTCAATGGCACAGACCCGATAACTTACCCCTTTGCTCAGCTCCCTGTTTGAACATCTTCCTTCAGTGGGTCCTTCCTGCCTTCTAGGTCTGGTTCATATTTCCCAATGTGACGCCCAAACTCCAGGCATAAACCTCATCTTTTCCCCCACCCTCCTGAACACCCTGGAAAATGTTCATAGGGAAATCTTTTTATTTTATTGAGACAAGGTCTCATGATCCCTGGCTGGGCTGAAACTTGGTATGTAGACTAAGATGGCCTTGAACTCAACAAGAGATCTGCCTGACTCTACCTCTGGGATGAAAGACATATTCTACCATGCCAGGTTCAACCAATTAAATGAGGTCATTAAACTCCTGTCCTTTTCAGGGCCTCCCCACTTTAAAAGAGCCTTCCCTCTCACTAGCTACTAATTAATTAAAAACCATAGATATTTACTGTGTGCACACATGGCTGTGTGAAGATGTGCTTAGAGAGCACAAGACAACTTGGGGTGCATTCTCTCCCTGTGGGGCCTCGGGACAGAGCAACTCCATCTGGTGAGCCACATGGCAGCTACCCCTCCACCCCGCTTTTTCTGTGAGACAAGGTATCACCATGGCACCCTGGAACACGACATGCAGACCCTCCTGCCTTCCCCTTGGGTTAAGGGAACACCCCTCCGTTGAGACAGAGCTTCAGTATATAACCCTAGCTGCCGTAGTCCAAGGTAACCCTACACTCACAGCAATCCCTCCTCAGCCTTTCTGTGCGGGGCTTACAGGTGTGCACCACACCATACTCAAACTAAAAACATTTACTTAAAAGTCCTTTGATGTTCCATGCAAGAGAAAACAGTTCAAGTCATCTGTCTGGGTCCCGAACTTGTGGTGGCCAGTAGAAGGCAAGACATTCTGGAATAGGCAGGATGCCAGGACACTGCCATGGCCAATTTGCTGATCCAGACAAGTCCGTGACAATGGAGAGGACTAGACGGATCCAGAAACATCCAACGATCCGATCAGCAGAGATACAAGTAAGGCAACAGACTATTTAATGTGGTGTAAAATACATCAGTATCAAGTCCCTGGCTGTTGTGAATACGAAAAGTAGACTGGGAAGGGAAGAAGAAAAAAACAAAAACAAAAACAACAAACAAGCTGTCAGCACAACCTCAAATAAGTGTGGGTGGCAAAAGAAACAGTTATGAGGACAGAGGCAGCCCTCCTATCCCAGGCTGGTCAGGAAGGGCGGTCAGGTGCCTGGGGCTCCACCCATGCTGTTAAGGTGGGAGGCTGGAGCAGCGCTCAGCAGGCCCCAGCCTCCCTGCAGACACCTGAGCAGCCCCACTGACCGAGCTCTGGTCAGTCCTCAGTAGGACTGACCAGGTAGGGATTGGGAAGGGCTAAATAACCATCTTTACAGAAACAACATTCTCACAGAAAGTGCCTGAGCCACACCCATGGTCCAAAACCTCATGGAAAACATAAATAAGAAGTGCTGCTGACATGGTGTACATGAAGCTCTCAACTGGACAAGGACCTAAATAGTACTGCCGGCACAGCCACGGGCCCTGGGTCTCACCCACTGTGGTCCTCTAGAGAAAAAGCTAACAATCTTACAAACCAACACAGATCTTGGTCCTAAAATGAGGTCATGTGCATGGGACTCACCCAAGTGAGGAAGGTACTGGCCCTCACTCACGATGGGCCACCTCCCTGCAGCTGGCCCAGGCTCCTGGGCTGACTTTGGAAAGCAGAGCAGCTGTAATGACTGTTGATTTGGTCAGTGGGAAAGAAGAGATTACCATCTCGACACTGCCCTGGGGGCCTAGAAATGGAGCTAATAGCCAAGTCTCTACAAATACATTATAGCCTCCTAGCCTACCATGCTGAGACCCAACAGCTGTAACCCCTACCTGGGCTTTAAGAGGTAGCTGAAGTGAGGCAGGCCAATTATGCGGGCCACAGGAGGCCTTCCATTCTCAAGGAGGCAGAAGATACCTTATCCTCACACCTCTGCAGCCCAGCAAGCCCCATGGGCTGACAGTTCAGACATCAGCTTGGCACGAGAGCTGGGAGGCCCTACTGGAGCAGGAAGAATACTATGATTTCCAAGGGAAAAACCTTGGGAGAATTTCCACAGGACAACAGATCCCAGCTGGAGATGGCAAACCCTCAACATTCACAAAGCTGCTGGGCACCCTGAGGGAATAAAGGTACCAGGGTAGCAAGTACTTGAAGTGGCAGTGCCCGACATGGGGAAGGGGGCATTATCTGTAATTTCTGGTCTTGAACACATGATAAGCAATAATGTTCTGTTTACTTTTGGTTTTCTGACAAGGGGTCCTGCTTCTTAGCCCAGACTGGTCTGAAGTTCAGTGTTGAGTCCTGGGATTATAGGCATACACCACACACCCAGCTCAATTCTGAATTTGTACAAGTGTGAGCTTAGCGACTAGTTATGAAAGATGAAGGAACTTGCAGAATAATGCAATAGTTGAAATACAACAAGAAGCAAAGTTGCAGCCGGGCAGTGGTGGTGGTGTACGACTTTAATCCCAGCACTGGGGAGGCAGAGGCAGGTAGATCTCTGAGTTCAAGGCCAGCCTGGGTTACAGAGTGAGATCCAGGACAGGCTCCAAAGCTACACAGAGAAACCCTGTCTCAAAAAAAAAAAAAAAGAAGAAAAAAGAAAAAAGAAGCAAAGTTTCATCCAATCTTGGTATACGGTTCACTTAGCTTCCAAGAAACTGCTGCTCCAGGGCGCTGCGGTGTCAACTGGCTAGTACCCTGGCAGGTGTGCAACAAGAGCTTCTGCACGAGCTGTCGAGCTGTCACACGTGGTCACAGATGTGAGCAGGACGGGCAGGGAAGGCAAACTGCAGCTATTTCAGTTCCTGGGATCAGTCTACTGTTACAAGTCATTCTTGATCTGCTGGACACCTGAAGGCTCAGACAGCAAGAAATGAAACCCTAAGTAAGGACTCAGTTTTTGGCCAAGAGGGTGCTAGGAAACGGCACCAGAGCAGTCCTCAAAAATTATTATCTGAGCTGAAGGTGAGGGGGCAGGAGCAAAAAAAAAAAAAAAGAAAAAAAAAAAGAAAAAGAAAAAGAAAAAACTGCCCATAAGCCAAGGGGCATCTGGATCTGGGGTGCAGCAATGGCTGCATGAGGACGGTGATGAGAATTAGTGGTAGCCTCCCAGGCTGAAACCCTTAGGCAAGTTTATGGCAAGACCATCATCCTTTCTCTTAATAATCTTATCTTCCCAAACAGGACATCTAGACACCAACATGGCAAAGGACCCTGACAGGGTTGTACCAAATGGGGCACTGGAGGCCAGGCACCTGGGACCACTGCTAATATATCCCTCTTCCTTCCTTTGAAGATCTTTAATACGAACTCTTAAGCAAAACAAAACAACAACAAAAACCTCGAAAATGAATCCTTTGGGTGACCTTTTGTCAATCATTTGTGCAGGCTAGAGGCACCTGTGAATGATAAGGCTACTGAGAACTGAGAAGCAACATTGGCCTGGACCTGGCACTACCAGAGGGCAGGGCAACTGGTGCCTGAAAAGGCTCCTTCCCACATAGGCACCCCCTCACCCCCAGCTTCCTTGTCTTGGGCAGGAGGAAGCTCATCGGCCAGTTGTTTCCTACAAAGGCTCTGCCCAGGAACACCATTCCCAGGTCAAGAGAAGCAATGGAACCCAGAGAAGCGACAAGAGCCCAAACTGCCCAAGTTCTGCTTACAAAAGAGAAGAGCCCAGGCCTAGGTGTTTCCACTCATCACAAGCTCTGAAAAGGGCTGCTGGGTCTGGGCCTCAAAATCAGGCAGGAAAATGTTCAAGCCGTCTGACCTGCTGGCTCACTGTGATGGAGCTGTCCAGATGAAGTCTCCTGAGACCCCAGTGGAGAGTCACCAACTTCATCTGCACACCCCACCCACGAAAGCCCACTGCACACCTACAGTGTTAGCTATGTAACCGCATGATGTCCTGCATACCTGCCCATCCATGTACGTAAGACAAACCCACAATTTAAAAATCGCAGTGTCCAATGCCCTCCAGGTCAGAACACCTTGGCCTCAGTCAGCACTGGGTCGCTCAGTGTGGGAGCTTTGTATGGACCAGGCCTGGTCGGGCTGCTGCTCCCTTCCCAGCACGCCCGAGCACCATGATCTCTAGGCAGTGGCAGAGGTGGGCTGCCGGGGCCCTGTTTGGCCTGTTAATTCTGTGCTTGGTGCTCCAGGGCAGCCAGGAACTTCTGTGGCCCTTGGGGAGCTGGATAGTTGAGCCCCAGGACTCTCAACACCTTGTTCCTTGGAGGCAGTGGCAGCCTCTGGCCTCCGCTCAGTGCCAATGTCAGTGAAGGAGCCATGGGCCCCAGCAGTCAGGTCCTGTACCCTCTTGTTCAGGTCATTGCGCTCTGTCTGCAGTGCTCGGCACAGCTTCTCCAGCCGTTGGATTTTCACCTGCAGACCTTCCAGCTCTTTGTCCCGGAGAGTTTTCTAGGTAGAGAAATGGAGCATTCAGTGAGACACTCATTTCTTCAAGTCTGGGCAACATAAAATCAAGCCTGGCCCCTGTAGGAAACAGTCCTAGCTTAAAGAGTATGACTTTCCTGTCCGACAATGTATCCCTCTAGTTATCTACCAGATAACTGCAGATGGCCCAGGCAAAGCACTCGCATCCTGAAACTGCATCATCTGTTCAACAGTACTGACCAACCTCAGTTCTCAAAAGGAGACATATCAAGAGAACTACCCTTTGCAAGCAAATGAAATAAACCAATGGAACAGACCGCCTGGCAAACCTGGCTTGCTCCTGCTGCACCAGGTTAGCGTTTGTCTTGTAGACTGCGTGGCAGTCACAACTCTCTGGGATGCTCTCCATGTGAACCACGTCAGCCATTAGTACCCACTGTTTGCTGTCTGTTCCTGGGACCTCGCTGCTAAGGGTGCTGTCACTGCACTTGGATAACTATGACTGCATCCCATTCCAGTTCATGTGTACAGTGTCCCTGACTGAGAAGATGGTAGAGGACTGACAGACCATAACTGCACCCAGCCCATCAACCTCCACTTACCTCTTCAGCCATCTCCAGCAGGGCCTTATTGCTGCTCTCCCACCGGGATCGATACATGGTGGTTTCTTTCTCCAGCTTCTTGATCTTCTTCGTCATCTGTTACATGACAGATGGAAGGAAAAAGAAGGTCAGAGCTGGACTGTCTGGACATCTGTACCTCCAAAGAGGGAGACATTACATCTGAGCCAACTGGGAGCCTCGAGTCAGGTCTACCACCGAGGCCGCCAAGGCTGTTCAGGAAGTAAAGGAGGAACTTGCCGCCAAGTCTGATAATCTAAGTTCCGTGCCCGAATCTACAGAATCAACGTCTGCAAATCATCCATGGACCTCCATATGCAGCCTACGGTATATGCACACAACATACACATACAGCCCCACCGATAATGTAGTTTAGAAACATGCAGGTGGATCTGAGTTCAAGACTAGCCTGGTCTACACAGAGAGATCCAGTGCAATCAGGGCTATGTAGAGAGACCATGTCTCTAAAGAATAAATAAATAAGCCATGTGGTGGTGGCACACGCCATTAATCCCAGCACTCAGGAGGCAGAGGCAGGCAGAACTCTGTGAGTTCCAGGACAGGTGCCAAAGCTACACAAGAAAACCCAGTCTCTAAAAACCAAAAGAAGAATAATTTTTTAAAAAGGCTGCCATTGAAGCTTAGTAATAGAATATATACTCTCTATTACTTTAAATTCTAGCATTAATAGAGAAAGCAAACCAAATGATAATAGAAAAACAAGCACAAACTCTGTCTTCTGGGGGAAGAGAAGAGGCTGAGACAATTGTAACTACCTCTTTCTGATATATGAACAGTTCCTATGAGGTACCCAAAGGTAGGACTGAATGAAGTGGCTTGGGCCTCTTCATGGCCAGGCCTGAATCCCCTGTGGTTACCTTTTCCATTTCCTGTTTGAATGTGGTGAACACTTCGCTGCTTTTGGAAAGCGTATTCTGGAACTCCTCAAACTTCTCTGTGTAGAGGGCGAGCTGGTAAGAGAGGCACAGAGGTGAGGCTGGGCTTCTCTGAAGGTACCTCTGGGCAACACTCAATTCGGATATCTCTTTGGCCCCTTGACAAAAATCATTCTACGGAGACACCATTTCCTAGTAAAACAACCCCAAAGCCATGCACAGGAAGGATGTGTTCCACATGAGAAACTGGAAAGTAAGCTTAGAGATGACTTCAGCATGTGGAGACTCTGACGATAAGCTCTTAAAAATACAAAACAACAGGCTGGAGAGATGGCTCAGAGGTTAAGAGCATTGGCTGCTCTTCCAGAGGACCTGGGTTCAAGTTCCAGCACCCACATGGTGGCTCACAACCATCTGTAATGAGATCTGGTGCCCTCTTCTGGCCTGCAGGGATACATGCAGGCAGAACACTGTATACAAAATCTTAAAAACAAAACAAAACAAGAACAAAAAACTGATGGCATTCAGCAGTTAAGAGCATTGGCTGTTCCGGGCAGCAGTGGTGCACATTTTCAATCTCAGCACTCAGGAAGCAGAGCCAGGTGGATCTCTGTGAGTTCGAGGTCAGCCTGGTCTACAGAGCAAGATCTAGGACAGGCACCAAAACTACACAGAGAAACCCTGTCTCGAAAAACCAAAACCAAACAAAAAAAGGAGCATTGGCTGTTCTTCTATAGGATCTGGGTTCAATTCCCAGCACCCACATGGACACCACAACTGTAACTCCAGTTCCAGGGGATCTGGCATCCTCTTCTGGCCTCTGAGGGCATCAGACACACACAGTGGGACACAGACATTCAGGCACGTAAAAAACACCCATACACATAATAATAAAGTAAAATAAAGATTCAAATGGGGTTAGGCATAGTAGTTAATACCTCATGCATCTGGGAGGCAGAGGACTATCACAAGTTCAAGACCAGCCTACTGTACAAGGTGAGTTCTGGGTTATCAAGAACTAAACTTGGCCTTTTCTTTCTTCTCTCTCTCTCTCTCTCTTTTTTTTTTCGAGACAGGGTCTCTGTGTAGCTTTGCGCCTTTCCTGGAACTCACTTGGTAGCCCAGGCTGGCCTCGAACTCACAGAGATCCGCCTGGCTCTGCCTCCCTAGTGCTGGGATTAAAGGCGTGAGCCACCACCAACTGGCAACATTTTATTAAAATCAATAAAAGGCTTGGTTGAGACTAACACAGCAGTTGGCTGAGAACCAGTCTCGGAGGAGGGTCTTGTCCCCACCTCCCTGAAGCTGGGCCCTGTGACTGTAGGTCAGGCTCGTCTCACCTGCTGCTTCAGATGGGCCTCCTGCTGCTTCATCAACTCGCACATCCTCTGCGACTCCACAGCTTCTTTCAGGAGCTGTTTCCAAGACAGGACCCAGAACCTGTCAGAAGCACTGGGCGGCACGTCTGGCCTTCTTTAGCCACAAGCACTGGACCCACTGAGGCTGCCTGCTCTCAGACCGCTGTCTGGACAGCAGTTACTGGACTGGGCAGGCAAACCTCTCCCATCCGCATGAACTCGACTCTGAACCAGGCCGGAACCCACTTCCTTGCAGTCCCCCCACAGCCCAGGGGCCTGATCCTCACAAACTCCTTCTCTCGCTGGTGACGCTCCTCTGCCTCCTTCAGCATCTCCTGGGCCTGCTGGAGCTTGGCATCCACTAGCTGCTGCTGCAGGTCCTTATGTTTGAAGACTTTGTCGATATGCTGTAGGAAAGGTATTAATGGGGTCTGCTTGTCAGGAGTTCCCTTGCAAGGAAGCCCCAACACTAGAACACAAGGTACTTCATCCGGTCTCATCTTGACCCAACTGTCTTTGGGAGGTCACTTTCCTAACCTCAACCTGATGTGTAGACAGGACAGTAGACACCTCTATTCTAGAACTGAGTATTTTACAGATCCCTGGATCAGACACCAGAGATAAGGCACAATGGGTCAAATCTCTTCTCTCCATTCCAGTTCCTTGCCTAAGAATAACATCATCGTCTGAAGGAAAAGCAAGAACAGCAGGCCTCCGGAGTGCTGCCCCAGTCCCTGGCACTCACTCCGGCCTCACAGGCTGCTGGCCACCATCACCTTACCTCTTCACGAAGCTCATATTGCTCAATCAACTTCTTGAGCCTCTCGGCCAGTTCCATATTCTCCTGGCGCAGCTTAGAGTTTCGCTCGTTATGTTGTTCCATCTGCAGCTGAATGTCGTTCAGTGTCACCTGGAAGTGTGAAGTCACCTCTTTGCGTTTCTCCTCCTCCTCACGGGCTCGCTGCACACCTTCTTCCTGAAGAGAGAAGCCAGCCCTGGAAGCATCATCCATAGCTCTAAGCAGTGCACAAAGCTCCCCTAACTCGTCCACAGTCTTTGCCAACAGAGATACTGGCCCCACAATGGCAAGCACCTAGGATCCGGGATGTCTGACACTGGAGTTTCTTAATGTGACATCAATCGAGTCTCTGCCTAGAATACTCAACATACATGACGGTAAGTGCCATTCTGAAGCAGCTGGGATCTTCTGGATTCGTGTTCCCAGATTCTAGACTAAGATTCCCTGCTTGTTTCCCTCCTGTTTCCCACAGGAAATAAGATGATAAAATCTGCTGGGTATAGGGGTACAGGCCTTTAATCCCAGCACCAGGAGGCAGAGGCAGGTAGATCTCTGTGAGGCCAGCCAGGTCTACAGAGCTAGTTTAAGGGCAGCCAAGTCTATACAGAGAAACTGTCTCAAAACAAAACAAAACTAACAAACAAACAAACAAAAAACAGGCAGGGTGGTGGTGGCACACGCCTTAATCCTAGCACTGGGGAGGCAGAGCCAGGCGGATCTCTGTGAGTTCGAGGCCAGCCTGGGCTACAGAGTGAGTTCTAGGAAAGGCGCAAAGCTACACAGAGAAACCCTATCTCAAAAAACAAAAAACAAACAAACAAACCCAACAACAAAGATCAAATCATCCAGGTATAGTGGTGTACACTTGACCCCAGCACTCAGGCTGCAGAGCGGTCTCTGAGTTCCAGGACAGTATGGTCTACATAGCAAGTTCCAGGCCAACCTAGACCCTAGAGAAAGACCCTGTGTCAAAAAAATAAAAAATAAAGAAAAAAGCAAAATAGAAAATAGTCCTACAAAAACAGTAAGGCAGGAAACATAAGGCATTTGGTAAGCAAAAGGAAAAGGGCATAAACCAGTTCAAGTATCATGCTTGGTTAGTATTGGTACTGAAGAGAGTGGGCAACTAACACTTTTAATCTTTTTTTTTTTTTTGGAGACAGGGTTTTTCTGTGTTACAGTTCTGTCTGTCTTGGAACTTGCTTTGTAGGCAAGGCTGGCCAAGATCCGCCTGCCTTAATCCTGAGTGCTGGGATTAAAGGCATTCACCACCACCACCTGGCGACAACATTTAACATTCTGTCTAGGCCTAGCAAGATGGCTAAGTGGGTAACACTGCCTGCTCTTACAGAGGACCCGGATTCAATTCTCAGCATGCACATGGCAGTTCACAGCTGTCTGTAACTCCAGTTCCAGGGGACCTGACACTCTTACACAGACATACATGCAAGCAAAACACCACTAAAAAATAAGGCCAGGTATGGTAGTACATACCTTAAGAAACTTTTTCTTCTTTTAAACAATCTGTCATCTTAAAGCAATCTTTAAAAACATTACATTAGTGCTTGTGTGTGTATGTGCACACCATGACCCACGTGTGAGGTCAGGGCATAACTGCACCAGTGGGTCCTCTCCTTTCACTATGTGGGTTCGGGGACTGAACACAGTTCTCAGGTTTGGCAGTAATTACCCTGACTGGTTAAGCAATCTTGCTGGTCCCAAGTTAATTTTACTATTATTTTTTTCTTGTGTTACTGAGGACTGAAGCCAGGGTGTTAGTCATGCTAGGCAAGTACTTTATTCCTGATATGTACTCCAGTCCCTCCTTTACCTAGTATTCTGGGGGTAAGGTCTTACTAAGTTGTCCACTTATGATCTTTGTACCTCTGCCTCATATAAAAGGTAAACACTAAACATGAGCATGAGCAAAGTAAGTTATCATGTATGATCAGGTCACATTCTGAGGTCATACACAGTGAGCTGCTTTAACCACCTATCACAACCAAGTCTCACTGACTAACCTCTGGGACAAGTGCTGAGCAAGGTGTTAAGAGCACTGCACATATGCACATGTGTGTGCATACACATGTGTGTGCACACACATGCGAGTAGAGGCCAGAAGCCAAGTGCCATATCAATTTTCCTTTACCTTACCATATCTTTATTTTTCCTTTTTGGTTTTTCAAGACAGGATTTCTCTGTGTAGCCCTGGCTTTCCTGGAACTCGCTCTGTAGACCAGGCTGGCCTCAAACTCAGCAATCCTCCTGCCTCTGCCTCCCAAGGGCTGGGATTAAAGGCATGTGCCACCACCACCCAGCAGCCTTATTTATTTTTTAAAGAGGGCATTGGATCTCCTGGAACTAGAGTTATAGACAGTGAGCTGCCATATGTGTGGTAGTAACTGAATGTAGGTCCTCTGGAAGAGCAACCTGTGATTTAACCACTGGACCATCTGTCCAGCCCATCCTTGTTATTATTATTTTTTTTAAGATTGATTTTATTTATGTGTCTCTGTGAATATATACCACATATATGCAGGTGCCCAGAGGTCAGGTATTAGATCCCTTTGAGATGGTTTGTGGTCAGCCCAATGTGGATGTAGGAACAGAAATTGGGTCCTCTGGAAGACTAGTGAGTGCTATTAACCACAGGTAGCCTCTCTAGCCCTCTCTACCTTCTTAGTAAAGACTGCATCTCTCATCAGACCTGGACTTGCTGATTCATCATGGGCCAAGGATCCTCCTGTCTCTGCTCCCACACACCGCAGTTAGAGACATACTGCTTTGCCCAGCTCTGTACATGAGTGACAGGGAGCCAAATTCTGGTTCTTATGCTTGTAATACACACTTTCCTGATTGATCCTTGAGTTCCCCAAAGGTTTATTTTGTAGAGGGCTCTGGAACCTATCGTGATACTATTGGGTGATGGAGCCCTCATGGTTTTGCTTTGTTTGTTTTTTGAGACAGGGTTTCTCTGTGTAGCCTTGGCTGTCCTGGAATTCACTCTGTAGCCCAGGCTGGCCTTGAACTCATGGAGATCTGCATGGCTCTGCCTCCCGAGTGCTGGGATTAAAGGCGTGCGCCACCGCTACCCCCCGGCCCTGTACCGTTTTTGCAGGGGCTTTAGGTTTTCTGGAGGCAGCCTCAGGAGCAGTCTTGCTGTACTGTACATTCCTCTCACATTCTGTTCCTGTCTTCCCCACCACAGATCTGAAAGCAGTGGGCTCCACCAATTCATGGACTAGAGCTTCCAAAAGTGTAAGTCAAGAGCATCTTTCTTTGTGTATTTTGAAAAGTTGATGAGCTCAGTATTTACAGAGGGAAAGCTGACTAGTGCAGCAGGGAACTGCTGCACTGAGAAAGATTCTCGCTGCTCCATCTGATGCTCTCGGCTGGTCATTCAGCCATACTGACACACACAGGTGGTCACAGCTGTCCTCTGGTGGGACTGGGATGGAGCTGTACTGTACCTAAGCTTTTCTGGTTTGTTTTACATTAAGTTTTCCAAGCCGGCCTGGAACTCACTGCCCACAAAGTCCAGGCACTCTGAGCTGCCTACCTTGAGGGACCGGTTGTGTCGCTGCAGCTCTCGGCACAGGCTCTCCAGCTTGCTTCGGGCCAGGACAGCCTTGCTATGCTCACCACGGAGATGGTCCTTCTCCTGGACGAGCTGGCTCTGCTTCTTCTGCAGGAGCTTCATCTGCTTCTGTGAGTTTCGGTGTTCTTCCAACTGAGAACAGGAGGGTGGCAAGTGTCCGGAGCAGGAACCATCCCATGGCTCTAGAGATTCCTAAGCTAATCGCTACCCACCCCTTCCACTCCAGTCACAGCAGATCAGAGAAGAACATGCTCAGGGACCAAAACTGTTGGAGTTCTGCTCCTCCCAGTAACTTCTCAGACTAACCCAAAGACCTATCTTAGGGAAATAATAATGAATGATCACAAAAACCAGTGACGTCACAGTAGCTCAATTACTTCTCCCTTGCAGCATCAATATTTCCCTAGATAAATCCTTCCAAATTAGATTTCATCTTTTCTGTATTTTTCTCTTTTCTTTTGGTATTTGGAGACAGGGTCTCTCTATATAACCCTCACTGTCCTGGAACTCACTAGACCAGGCTGGCCTTGAACTCAAGAAATCTTCCTGCCTCTCCCTCCTGAGGGCTGGGATTAATGGAGTACACCACTATACCAAGCTCTGTATTTCTTATAGTTTTACTTAATGTGCATGGGTGTTTGCCTCACACCTATGTCTATCCAAGACTTGTGTGCCCAGTACCCTAAGAATGCAGAAGAGAGCGTCAGATCATCTGGATCCAGAGTTACACATGGTTGTAAGCTGCCATGTGGTTGGTAGGAATCAAACCCAGGTCTTCTGGAAGAGCAGCCAGTGTTCTTAAGTACTGAATCACCTCTCCAAACCATTCTCTATACCTCTCTCTACACACACATACACACACACACACACACACACTCTCCACTCAACACTTTCACAATGAGAAAGATGGCGAGACTTGGCATTTCTTTTTTTTAAGACAAAGTCCTGCCAGGCGTTGTTGGCACATGCCTTTAATCCCAGCACTCGGGAGGCAGAGCCAGGCGGATCTCTATGAGTTCGAGGCCAGCCTGATCTAAAGAGTGAGATCCAGGAAAGGCACCAAAACTACATAGAGAAACCCTGTCTTGAAAAACAAAAACAAAACAAAAAGACAAAGTCCCATAGCCCAGGCTGTCCTTGAATTCTTGAATGTTCTGTCTCCAGGATTTAAGGTATGCACCACCCTGCCCTGCTCACACTTGGTACTTCTCATAATCCAACACAGACTAAAAATTCTTATCTCAAGAAGTGAACCTGAATTGGAGCAAGCGTAGAGCTCCCTTTCCCTTGTTCAGAACTCAGAACTAAGGTGGTGAAAGGACAGGTCCCACTCACAGGTGACCGAGCAGAGTCGAACACTTCAGGGAGATGCATGGAGAAACACATTAGGACATGACTACTCAGTATCTGGGACTAAAACTAGGATTCCACCACCTGGGAGCCATTCTTTTGAGAAATTTACTTATAAAGTTCTTCTCTTACTGTCAGCCCTTAAGTGGCTGACTGGAAACTAACTTCTCATTTAACAGATAGGGGTATGAGAATTCAGAAAGGGCTAACAGGAACTAAGCCAGATACCTGGTCCTGCACCCAGTCCACCCCTACCCCAGGCAGCCTGCTGACTTCGCAAAGAAAGGCAGGGAAGGTACCGGAGAAAGGAGACGGGGAGTCACTGACCAGTTCAGCATACTTCTTGCACAGAGCAGCCAACTTTTCCTCTGGGGTACTGAGCGTGTTCAGTGTCTGCATCAGCAACGTGATCTCCTTCCCTGTAAAGCACAGGGGATAAAGGCATGCACCCCTTTTTGGGGGTACCCTCTAGGCCCAGGCTGAGTGCTGAGGCAGTTTTCCCTCGTAGACTGGTGCTTCATGAAGAAGTGAGATCACTTCAACCCAGCAGCTTCACTGCACACCACCACTGCAGCATAAGGAATGTCACTAACGCTCACTAAACCAACAGACCCATCTTCTTGGTAAGCACTGCCAGTGAGAGGAAAAGCTATTTCAAAACATTCTCAACAGGCAAACACCATCTACTTATAGATTCATGTTGCAGTCCATGAAGGTCCTTTTGACAGAATTCAAATCTAAAACAAACAAACGAAATAAGTCTGAGGTTCTCTGAGAAACTAGCCAAACTCCTGTCAACATTCATAGCTACACAGTTATGTTTAAAATGAATGTCTCATGCTGGGCATGGTGGCGCATGCCTTTGATCCCAGCACTCAAGAGGCAGAGGCAGGTGGATCTTTGAGTTCAAGTCCAGCCTGGTCTACAGAATGAGTTTCAGGACAGCCAGGGCTACACAGAGAAACCCTGTCTCAAAACCTACCCCCCCCCCCAAAAGTCTCTTTCATATGTGACTCTATGACTTAAAAAAAAAAGCACTTGGGAGGCAGAGCCAGGCGGATCTTTGTGAGTTCGAGGCCAGCCTGGTCTATAGAGCGAGATCCAGGGAAGGCGCAAAGCTACACAGAGAAAACCCTGTCTTGAAAAACAAAAAACAAACAAACAAAAAAGTATCTCTCGAAGTTAGGACAGGTAACAAATGGAGGGAACAGGGACTATGATATGGTTGTTGTGTTACCTAACATAGATTTTCATTTTTCTTTGACAGAGGGTCTTGTTATGTAGCCCAGGCTAGCTTTAAACTCACATTCTTCCTGCCTGTTCCCCCTGGTCCCCATTAGAGGCATATACTACCACATCCAACTCAGTCGACATTCTATATTCATATCCATCTCCCACCTCCTTCAAAGGACTGCCAATGCCCTCCCTATTTTTACTTGTTTGAGATAAGGTCTCATTATATAGAGCATGCTACCATGCCTGGCTGCCACCGACTGCCTGTCTCTCAGGAAACCCTGTACCTACCACCCGTGGTTTCCACCATATTCAGCACATAAAAGTTCTAAACTGTCAGCTCTGGGGGGCCAAGAGATCGGCACAGAGACTGTACACCAGCAATCCACAAACCAAATCCAGCCCACGGATGGCTTTGACTTGGTCTCTGTTATTTCAGCTGCCAATTACCCAGCTAGCCAGTTGAGAGCAGGAGACTCACCAGGTAGGAGTTAATTTTTCAGATAAAGTAGGCCCTCTCTCGATTCTCAAGAGGTCTGTGGCTTACCTGGTGAACGTCAACATTTGAGATCTTAACCTTGGTGTAGCCTAATTTTATCGCTGTAGAAATAGGGAAACTGAGACCCAGGAGTGGAGAATGAACATGCCCAAAGTCAAACACCAGGTGGTGCTGGCTGGCAGAGTCAGCTCAGGCCTCCCGTTCCCCATCCCAAATGAGAAAGCTGCTTGGATTCCTGCCTCCACTTCCTCCCAAGGCAAAGAGGCCTCGCCCAAGTGAGGACTCTGAACAGCTCAATGCTCTGACCCTATATTCCTGGGTCTTGAGAAGCAGACTCCTCTGAGTTCTGACAGAGCAGGCTAGCCCATGAATGACAGGTCTCGACTCGCCCCTCACCAGCAGCCACCCCCTCTCACCCAGACCCTTGGCTTTCTTCTTCTCCTGTGGCCGTCGGTGGTCCCGGTCTCCGACCTCCTCACTGGCTCGGATCTCCTCTGTGCCCGGCTCCCCTTTGGAGGGCTCCTTCTCGCCGTTGACCACTGGGATCCCCGGTTCAGGCTCCCCATTCCTTGCCGCATAGGTTCGGGACTTCTCTGCATCTTCCGGCTCAGTGGGCTCACCCTGCGCTCCCTCCTCAGCTGGGCCCCCCTGACTGTTGTCCACACAGTATGTACTCAGAATGTCTTCCAACTGCCGGCTCAGCTCCTCAGAGACATCACACAGGGGGCCAGCCTTAGCTGCTTTTGCTTGAGCCCCTACAGCAGGAGAGATTAAGACACAGAATAAAAATAAGAGGGTTACACTACTGGCTTGGGTTTTCTTTTCCTTTCTTTTTTAGACAGGGTTTCTCTGTGGAACCACTGTGGCTGTCCTGGAACTCACTCTGTAGACCAGGCTGGCTTTGAACTCACAGAGATCTGCCTGCCTCTGCATCCCCGAGAGCTGGGATTAAAAGTGTGTGCCACCAACACCAGGGGATTTTCCTTTTCTTGAAGCCAGCAAAGTTTGGGTTAAATGTTGTTTCATTTATTTGGTTGAGACAGGATCTCTCTACAGAGCCTTAGCTGTCCTGGAACTCACTCTGTAGACCAAGGTGACCTCAAAGTCAGAGATCTACCTGCCTCTGCCTCCCAAGTGCTGCGGCCACTATGCCTAGCCTCAGTTTAATTTTTCTAAACCCTAAGTTTACTTATAAAATGATACAATTATTTCTTACGACTCCCCAAACATACTTCTTATGACAACAGGCAATTATGACTGGGAAGGAATGGCCTACACCTTTAACCCCAGCACTTGGGAGGCAGGGGCAGGTGGATCTCTGTGAGTTCGTGGTCTACAGAGAGAGAGTTCCAGGATAGCCAGGGCTACACAGAGAAACTCTATCTTGAAAACACGAAAACCAATTCTCCCCCCCCCCCAAAAAAAAGAAAGAAAAAGACAGCTATGTAAGCATCCCAAATTAGGGACGGTTGGCATGTAGTAGAAACTCCACCTCTAATCCATCTCCCACCCCTGCTCAAAAGCCTTTTTTTTTTCTTGGTTTTTCGAGACAGGGTTTCTCTTTGTAGCTTTGTGCCTGTCCTGGACATCATTCTGTAGACCAGGCTGGCCTCAAACTCAGAGATCCACCTGGCACTGCCTCCGGAGTACTGGGATTAAAGGCGTGCCACCGCTGTTCCAGAACTGCCTCAAGTATACAGGACAATCACTCTCCACTGTCAAGTGTTTTCTGGGACTGTGACTTTGCTTGTGGGGTGCCTCATCTGTTTGTCACTCAGTTTAAACCAGTCAGAGCATGCTCCCAAGGTTCCATTCCAGGACTAAGAGTGGCAAGCTTCATCACCTCCCCGGGAAACATGGGAATTACACAGAATGGGCATTGTTCATTCTATAGTTCCTCCTTCCTGGGTAAACACTGGTCTCAGAAGTGAGGCCAGTCCCAGAAGCTCCTCCCTCTGCCCACTGGAAAAGCGGGGCAGGCACACACCCTCGGTCTTCCCCGGAGCCTGGCTTGTGGACCCTTCGGCTTCCGCCGCCGGAGCTGTCTGTCTGGGCCGTCCGTGGGCTCCCTCCGGTCCTGCTTCCCGTTGCCCCGGGCTGCTCTTCGCGTTGGAGTGTTTGGCAGGCCCATTCTTTTTGTCTTGGTTCTTCATTGTGATCTGCAAGGCAGAAAACGGGAAGATCCTTTAAGGAGGACACCGCTGCTATCTATGCTCCAGACTTCAAAAAATTTTTGATCAACCTAGATCAGAAACCCCAAGAGCAGGCGATCAAAGCCTCAAACAAACTGGCCGGCCTGCGCCGGCGACTCCGGGGTCCCCTGCAAGGTTTCCGAGGAGCTGCCCGACAGGAGAGCCGGGGAAGAGGCCTCCTTTCTCCCGATAGCCACTTCTCGGCAGCCGGAGCGCGGGATTGGCTCCGCGCCGCAGACTGACGTGGCGGGATGCTCCAGTCCCAACCGGTCCCCCCCGCCTCCCCAGGTCCCACGTGGGACCCCCGGGCGGGCGGGCGCGCGCGCGGAAGCCACCCACGCCCCGCGCGCCCTCTAGCCCCACGGCACGCATGCGCAACACGGCGACATCCACACTGACGCCCCTGTCGGAATTAGTTATTCCTCCACGGCCAACGCATCCCGGGCCTCAGACCCTCCGAAGAGCTCGTCCCACCTACCACCAACACACGCACCTCACCACAGACATCCGATGGCGTCCCCCTGGCTCTGGCCGAGCACCGGAAACCCGGGTAACCGCTGCCAGCAGGACCGCCCGCTCCTGCCGCGGCCAATCAACAGCTGACGCTGGCGCGGAGCTTGCTGGGAAAGACGAGGCCAAGGTGGCTTTGGAGTCGGGGGGTGATAAAGAACTACGAGTCCCTTCATGCATCGCGGCGGGGCACAATTCCCGAGATGCCATCCTGAAGGCTTTCGTTTTAGGAGCTGTATACCCTGCAGGTCCGAAATTATGTCCTACGGTCTAGAAATTGGCGTCAGCCTCCGTTATAGCGAGAAGCTGTGATTGGCCCTTAAGCCTTGGCGCTCGGCTTTTTTTTTTTTTTTTCATACACTCCTCTATTAGTCCTTTGTGTATGTGTATGACTCTTTCTAGGACCTCTGAGGACTCGAAGAGGGACAGAAGGCTGAATTGGGTATTTGGAGACCTTTATTCCACTCCTAAACCAGTCATTGGTTACGTGCCTGGCATCCCCCCCCCCATTCCAATAGAGCATTTATAATTCAAAAGCTTACTGTGTTCTTTCCTCGTATATAATAGCTTGGTCCTCATAATTACTCCGAGACAATACAGAATACTTGGTGATCTGGGAAATATAGGACAATATGAAAAAGGCTAGATGGCTTTTTTTTATTGCTTATTTATTATTATTATTTGTTTGAGACAATATCTCATTATATGTAACATTGGCTGGCCTGGAACTCCCTATGTAGATCAAAGTGGTCTTGAACTAAAGCCAAAGGCCACCATGCCCAGCTTGAGACTAAATAATTTAAGGCTGCATCAATATTGAGTGGTGATAGCAGATTCAAAGCCTGACACCTGAACTCATCGAGACACGGTTTCCCTATGTAGCCCTGGCTGTCCTAAAACTCACTATGTAGACCAGGCTGGCCTCTAACTTAGAGATCCACCCAGCAGCACCCATCTTCACCACCAGAAGAAATACCCACCCTCACAGGCTTTCTCTGAGACAGTCTACTGGCCACCTCCTGTCATCACCGGCTCGGAGTAACTCCCTCAGGAAGGGATTTTCCCAGAGGGACTTTGGCTTCAGACAGGTTGGTGATCCCACCCCACCACCCCTACCCCACTTTCTGCAAAGTCTGGTGTGCTCACGCAGGGGCTGAAGTTTGGAAAAGTTAGATTTTCTTGTCTTTGTTTTTCATTACGATTAGGAATGCCAGTTTAGGCACAGATCCTGCAGAAACAAAAACTACTGTGACTTCAATTCTTTTGTTGTGTGGGTTTTTTGTTTGTTTGTTTGATAAGGTTTTGCTTTATAGTGCTGCCTAGCCTGGATCTCTCTATGTAGATCAGGCTGTCCTCAAACTCGCAAAGATCTGCCTGCCTCTAGGACCCTGAGTGCTGGGATTACAGACGTGCAACCGAGACAAACCATTTTAACACCCAGCATGCATATTACTCTGAGAAGCTGCAATCTGCCCTAGTTCCCTAGGTCTGGCTAGACTTCTGTTACAGCATTTGCCACGGAGTGTTGAAATTACTGTTGGCTAAATGCTGCAGTTTCAGAGGCTAGAGTCAGGCTGTGGGTAGAGCATGTTGCAAATTGTGCCAATTGGATATTGTTTTAGGGTCCTTAGATGCTGGCCATTTTCCTGTACCAGCTCTGTCAAACAGACTCAGAGTGGTGTTCTCTCTGTTCAGATGTAACTTTGGGAGGCAATACTATATGATATAGGCTCAGGGGTAGAGCACTTTCCCAGAATGATGAAAGCTCAAAGCAGGAAGCATCCAAACTTTGCTAGTTTACGGAGGAAAGTGAGGTTCAGTGAAGTTTGGGTCAAAGATGTTTGGGAACCAAAGCCCAGATTATGTCCCAGTAAACACAGAGGAATCTCTGAGGAGACAGCACAGAGATCAGGTCTCTACAAAATTCCATACAAAGAGGATGCTCTAGAACAGTGCTTCTCAACGTTCCTAATGCTGCGACCCTTGGATACAGTTCCTCATGTTGTGGAAACCCCCAACCATAAGATTGTTTTCGTTGCTACTTCATAATTGTCATTTTGCTGCTGTTAGGAATCATAATGTAAATCTTTGTGTTTTCAGATGGTCCTAGACGATGCTTGTGAAAGGGTCATTTGACCCTTGAAGGGGGTTGAGATCCACAGGTTGAGAACTGTTGCTCTAGAGATTAATCTTAAGTCTTAAGAATTTTTGAGGACACTGGACATAGTGGTGCACACTTTTATCCCCAGCACAAAGGCAGATGGACCTCTGTGAGTTGAAGGTCAGCCTAGTCTACATAGTGAGACCCTGTCTCAAAACAACAGCAACAAAACCTTAAAGGAGCTGGAGGGATGGCCCAGTGTTTAATAGTGCTTGACTGTCCTGCAGAAGACCAGGAATCGATTCCCGAACCCCTCGTGGTTATCAACAGTATACAGACTCTAATTCTGGAGCACCCAGCACCCTCTGCTGGCCACCAGACACGCACACAGTGCACTTACATAGACATGCAGGAAAACACTCATACACTAAAGATAAACAATTTTTAAACGGGGTCTTTGGGCTAAAGAGAGGGCTTAGCAGTGGAGAGTGCTTGGTGTGCAGTAGTGAGGACTGGAGTTCGGATCTCAGCGTCCATGTAACAAGCCAGGGGCCACCCCGTGCTTCCTCCCTGGGGTTGTGGAGGGGTGGTGCAGAGCCACAGAACTGCAAGGGGTTTCTGGCTTCTAGTATAACCAAGAAAACTAAAGGCCCGGGTTCAGGGAGAGACCTTGTTTCAAATAGGTAAAGAGCAATAGAGGAGGACATTTAAACTCTCTTTTGGTCTCCATGCAACCATACATAGGTGTATACTCACACGGACAAATATACCCCCACACAAGTCAATAAATAAATGGGGGTGGGGAGAATTGACTAAGTGGGCCACCATGGTACCCACACACCTTGGAAGGAGGATGGCAAATTCAAGGTCAGTCTGGGCAACCTAGTGAGTTGGGGGCCAGCCAGGGCAATTTAGTGAGACAGTAGCAAGATTGCATCCATGAAGTAGCAATGAAAATAATTTTATGGTTGGGGTCACCACAACAAGAGGAATTGTATTGAAGGGTTACAGCATTGGGAAGGTTGAGAACCACTGTTCTTAGGGGATCTGACGCCCTCTGGCTTCTGTGGACTCCTGCTCACATGGTGCACATAAACTCACACAGACACATAAATGAGAATAATGTTTTAACTAGTAGGAACAAAGGCTGCTGCCAGAGGTTCTTCAATGTGCACCTTGTTCTCTAAGTTGTATCATCCTCCTCTACAACAGCTTCCCTTTTCATATCCTTCCTATCGCCTGCCAAGATCTGCAGCTCGCCCATTCTGTTCTTCTTCTTTTCCAAACTCTATTAAAATGGTCATTTCTTTCCTGCGAAAGGGGCCCCGTGTCCTCTGGAAACACTACCACTGAGCTGCTAAGGCACCCAGAGCATTTCTTAAGATCACGAAACAGGCCTTGAGAAGCACTGCCTGACCGTACCGGCTGGCTTCCTTTCCGCTGGGGAAGCACTGCTGAGTCTTGATTGGAGCCCGTTCCCTGCTCCTAGACTCTGACGTATGCAAGGGAGAAATCAAAAATCATTTTTAAAATTTTTTATTTATGTGTATATGTATGTTACATCTGGTGGCCTGAGAGTGTGTTGGAATCCATGGAGATGGAGTTACAGGAAGTTCATAACTGCCTGACAGAGGTGCTGGGCCCCCAACTCAGGTCCTCAGGAAGTGCATGAACCATCTCCCCAGCCCCAGGAATCAAACCACTGAACCATCTCCCCAGTCCTAGGAATCAAACCCCTGAACCATGTCCCCAGCTCCAGGAATCAAATTCTTTTTTCTTTTTTTTTCTTTTTTGGTTTTTCAATTACAGGGTTTCTCTGTATAGCCCTGGCTGTCCCGGGAACTCACTCTGTAGACTAGGCTGGCCTCGAACTCAGAGATCCACCTGCCTGTGCCTCCTAAGTGTTGGGATTAAAGGCATGCACCACCATGCCCAGCTCAGAAATCAACTTCTTACACCACATTTTAGTCAGCTCTTGTATTCCTTGCCTACAAGATGGCCCCTGCAGGCTACTGTTGACCTTTCCTGCTATACCTCCCACCCCATATTCATGATTTTCTTGCTCACTAGGTTTGTGTGTGACACACAGGCACTCACTTGCATCGTATTATACCCATTTCTGGCCTAGAAAAGCACCAGGCATTCATTACTTGGAATGAAAAAAAAAAATCTTCAGGAACAAAACAAGTCTTTAAAAAAATTTTACGGACCCTGATGTGAGTGCTGGGAGCTGAACTCCGGATCCTTTAAGTAAGTAAGTGACCTTAACCACTGAGCCATCTCTCCAGCTCCTCTCTTCCTTATTATTATTTTTTGCTCTTTATGTTCTTATGTTTTGTGTAGGGGGGTTTTGACTTCATGTATATCTGTGCATTACATGTGTCCCTGGGGTCTATGGAGGCTATGAGATCTCTTGGAACTAGAGTTATAGGTGGTTCTGAGCTCTCATGTGGGTGCTGGGAGCCAAACTTGTAAGAGCAGTAAGAGCCATGCCCAGCACTTCCCATGCCCAGCACTTCCCATGCCCAGCACTTCCCAT